GACATGAGTTAGGAGCGGCTCTTATTTACTTACTCGGAAAGCGGCAGTTACCATTACTAACAGTTTTGCCAGTTTGCGCTTGGGCCCTACCATCGCGAAGGACTCAAAAAGTCCAAAGGGAACAGCGTAGCTTATAAAAGACGCGCGCGCGCACTACGCATGGTGTGACAGCCGCTCATCTAAATCTAAATCTAAATCCCAACTCATGTGACATGTCGCGTGCTCAAAAGGCCTCAGTTAACTACATGAGATGGGACTCAACAACCAATTTTTACTCGTCTATTTCCTAACTCATATCTCATTTTCAGCTATTCTCAGGACGCTCCAGTGCTGCGATAGCCACTTGAGTTAGGAGTTACCCTGGCAACTCCTATCTCACAGAGGGACACTGCTCAAAACATACAAAATTTAATACTGATTTTCATGTTTTTTTTGTTTAAAATGCACTAAAACCACTCCTGAGTTAGGACTTACATACATTTTTTCGATCCAAAAATCAATTTTCACATGAGTTAGGAAATTCAATTTTCTGGTTCGTCCGCAGAGGCCTAAGTCATCCTAACCTAGTATAATGTATATTAATGTGGGTAAAACAATGATAAACCATCCCCCCAAATAACCATAAATAGGTGGTATAAACCATTCCCAAATGGATCAAATGGGTGGTTTAATTACTGTTTTACCCATCATATCCCAATTAAAATTGGCATTTGGGGGTATACTAAGCGTTTTCAGACACAGCCATGTGGCCATGTGTGTTGCCACATCCAGGCGCTGAACAACACCTTAAACAACGACACCAAGGAAGGTCTGCAAACGGTTGGGTTTTCCCAGTTTTCCCAGTTCTGGAGCTGGTCAATATCTCTCAGAGTTGTTTACTATTGATGTAATGGTTGAAGGGTTTGTACGGATTTTGGTTTGAGGTTTTAGTTTTACTAAGTTTTACCATGTTAAAGTCTGGTGGTTTCACTATGTTTCACTGTAGATGTTCCCTTAAAACTCACCCAATGTGGTGCTTGTTTGTGTTGTTCAAACCTACCAAAGTCCGGATGTGTGACCAGTCCATTTGTGGAATTCTCCAAACATGCGGGATCAAATCCTACTACTGGTACCTACTGCATTCTTTTCAGGGTTTTGCGCACTTCTTAGAAATTCGATTGCATTGCATTGCTTAGTCAACGGCGCTATATGTTCACCTGGGGCCACCCTGGTCATGCCTTGGGGCCTCTGAGATCCTCTGAGGCCCTGCCACTGATCCGACGCATGACCTACCTGTTGCTTTATGACGAGAGCACAGGTGGCTGGTGTGGCTGGTGAAACAGGAAAGGAACACGGAGGTGAAAGCCAAAGACTATAGGAGGCTATTAGGAGGCTAATATCGGCTAATACCAGGTACATCCTTGTACTGGAATAGCATGATTTCATGATTTCCCTTGATTTTTTTGGGTGTCGGAAAAATCAAATACAGGCATGACTTGGTTGGATGATCAGATATGGGTCAAATCAGAGGTACTTACCGAAGATCACTGAAAATCACTGATTCATTTGAGGCTGGCAACAGCTGAGGGTTTTTATCCATGCATAGATGCTATTAGATGAATTTAGATGATATAGATTTCATTCCACGCAACAAAAAACTCGTTTGATGCAATTTTGTTGATCTCTACAGATGCTGGCAGGCAAGGAACGCCTGCACGAGGGTGGCACTGTTTGGAAGGGCGACTCGGAACGACCCGCCGGAAAGCCCAGATGGACCATCTGATGGACCATCTGAGGTCGATGCTGGGAGACGAATAGTTTGTTTTCGGGATTTTCATTGGGAAATATTCGGGAAATATTCGGGAAATATTGGGGAAATATTCGGGAAATATTGGGAATACCAATGAATTAATACTCGATGTTTTGGGACATGCTGCATGAATGCTGACCTGCACTTGATGTTGTGACATTTTGTGATAGGTGAAATCTGATGATGACACCGAAGCCGGCAGTCTGTCATGACCATCATGACCGCAGCGCAGTGGATGTATCGGGATGTATCCGATATTCTCCGTGTGTAGAATGTCAGAATGTCCACCGACATTTACCGCCAAACAGACCTGTAGGATCCTGTAGGATTCCATCTGCGAATCTCATAGTTACATGAGAGCACATGGGTTTGGTACCGCTGCCAGCATTCAGAGCTACTGAAGCTCGACAGATCCACCAGGCTCCAGTCCCCACTTAGGGCAGCCCATCATTGAATGCCCATAGAATGGAGCACTCATTCCTATAGCAAAACAGCCATGAGGTGGTTTGGATGGATCATTTCTAACTTCTAACTTCTAACTACTTCCAACCAACAAAAATCTGAAAAGACCCAACATTTGGCCCTTCAGCACTGAAAAAGTCAGGGTTGCCAGCGAGTCACCCCTTTCAACGCGATGGATCCTTTTCAAAGCGCACTGGATGGCTTGAAGGAGTTGAAGGCAGGGCTCCAAGCTGGGTGGCAAACATGTCAAAACATGTCAAAACCATTTGCATCGTTGTCATTGTCATCATCATTATGTTTGTGTGTAAGATTTCTAAGTCGTAAGAGTTCAGAGGTGCGGTTATAGTTGACTGAGGTAGGTGAACTTGTGATTTGATGAGATCCGCATGATTTGAATGATGTTTTCAGGGTGAGCATTTTGAATCATGCCATCTAATTGTGTTGACCAAAAAAAGATCAAAAAAGAAGGTTGTTGCGGGCCCAACAATTCTCGGTACGTCACTCAACTGTCACTCAAACCATTTGTTGCGTCTAAACCAAACACGTTCCAACCCCCTAGCACTTTTGCGCCCAATACCTCATATGTGCTTTGGTAAACCCAGTACTATCCATACCTTATGATGAGCTTTGAGCGCGCTTAAACCATCTTAAACCTTGGGTGCCATTTTTGAGTCTACCATGGCGTACTGCTATTGTTGGGTTTGCAACGCTATTTGGTTTATCCCACAGCTATATAAACCCAACAATAGTGTATATAAAGAATTATAAAGATATATAAAGCAAGTCCCATTTACACCACACAACTGTTGGGCTTATTTAAGCCCGAATGGTGCTGGAATGAATATTTACTGTACGTAATTGTACCTACATATATTTACCAACATATTTACCAAGATATTTACCAGCATAAAATGAGGGCTCATTTTTTGGATTCATATGAAATTCATGGCAAGTATTCCATCACCATGGAGCTGGCTGGCCTGGCAATGGGATTGCCCAGGAGCAAAGCCGGGTGATCAACGGCGACGGTTCAGAGCCCAGGTTCGACTTGTTTCACTTCGAGCGGCTCGGTTTCAGCGGTTTGCTGCTGAAAGGTCGTTGGGGGTCGTGCTGGGGGATCCAGATGGGGGATGTAGGTGTGCACATATGATTTAAGATTATGTATATAAACTATGATATATGAACAATTATAAACATATCGTGTGCATATTTGTGTATGGTGTGCATCTTCATACTACACTGTGATAAACTGTGTCAGTGTATTTTACAGCAGAGCACAATGCAATATCGGATTGACCAATGCAACACCAACACATAATAGTACAGTAATGCACTGTACTTTGTTGTGGGGGATCTAGGCTTTAGGATTACCAGGGGACGGTCATTCTAAACATTTCTAAACATCATAATTAGTTTCTAACAAGTGAGCAATAGTGAGCATCGCTCAAAGTCTCCATGAAAGCAGTTTACATTTTATGCTACGGCAACTCTCCACTGCGAAAGTAAATCCCTGCTGAGCGAAATCACGCGAAGATCACGCGACTTTGAAAACGACGGGAAAGCTCCGTGAAGGCAAACTGTGAAGACCCAGCTTTGATGGAAAAGCGCCGCGAAAGCGAAGATTGATATATACATAATATATATATATATATATAATTACAGTATATATATATATATTATCCATTCATATCTAATAAATTATATATATATGATATTACGACGATATGGATAAATTCATGATCCGAAAAACAACATCAATTTTCGTCATTCATCGTCATCCACTGCAGTTGGTCCATTTGCTCCTGGAAGACTCGATGTGCCACTTGGCAACCGAGTGCCGGGGTCATTCGTAGGGGTCCCCAAAAAGCTCATTCGAGTGACTAGAACTATGGAAAAATATGGAAAAATATGGGAACACAATGGGAAAATATGGAAAAATATGGGAAGATATGGGAAGATATGGAAAAATATGGAAAAATCAAACGAACAATGATGATTCCTGATAATCCAGGAGATTTGGGGTCTTCCATGGGACTGTCCGACTGCAGAGACAAATCCGCATCCGGGGGATCCCCCAAAACCATGGGATGTTCTTTCTAAAATTGACTATTTTATTTCTGAAACTTGGGGTTTCAAATTCAAGAACCCATCCAAATGATCAGTAACTGAGTATGTACACGAATATCCCAGTATATCCATGAGTTATAAAGGGTTACAACATGTTACAACCAAGTTCGTATTATGAACTTTCAGCATCCAAGTACTTGGATAAGTTGACTATCCTGTACCCAGCTGTCATGTTGATAGTGATCTTGAGACTGTACCAAAGGGGCATCTAATTTTGAGCCTAAGAAAGACCTTTAGGAATCTTTGAATTCTGATTCGAATCGCTGTCATGAATCATCATGAATCTGTTGCAACATGAAACTCAAATATATGCCAAGATGATTTAGCATATACCACTACATACCATTTGAGTTTCATGTTGCAGATTCATATTGTTAAACTTCCAACAGAAATATAGAGGAAACATCCACGGGAAAGTCATGGATTTCCATAGGGAAAACATTGCCACCACCAGAATGACAATACGCACTCTGTTCGATATTACTTTGATGGTATGTTGATGATCAAAACCATATGGTTTTCCTTCAAATACCGAAAAAATACCGGAAACTCAAAAACATCAAAACAAAGTTTCCATCGAAGGTTCGAGGGGTCGAAACGGGCCGAAAGTTCCGAGGTTCTCATGGCGAAGGCTATTCCCTGGCGTTCCTGGATTTTCACTCCCGGAGATCACGGAAATTATCAGCCAGCCTATGTTCCTGGTCGAATCATGTCGAATCATCCCCCCGGGCCCACATTAAAAAACATAGCCTCCGGTAAACGTTTACATACCCATGGAAAAACCACTATGCTATTAATTAATGGGTATTTTAATGGGTAAATCCACTATAATTAAATGACCATTTTCAATAGCAAAGTGTAAACGTTTACCAGAGGGTAATTGCAATTTTAGGCCCATTTATGGAGAATTCTGGACGAATGGAACTCAATTCAAAAAAGAAATTTAGACGCTTACTGTATTGTCTTGCAAGAGTTGGCTGTAAAATGGCATGTGTCTGGTATATTTGCATTGACATGCATTATCTATATCCGTTCAGTTTTTAGATAGTTCTAGAGTTGGGGTTGTGTACAACTTCATATTCTACTTGGGTTGACATGGGTGTACTAAGTACACTCTCAGTAGGATTCAAACTTGATGGACATAGAAATAAACCAGGTGTAGGGCCATGTCTCGTTTATTTTTAAATATACAGTACTTAACTTTTTCATCATGATTCTTTAAGCCTTGTTAAAACATGTTTGAAATCAGTTCCACCATCAATTTCAATCATGTTTTCCCATGAAATCAGTCCGGTTTCCCGTTCAAATCCCCAAGGTACGTCTCCGCTCTCTTGGGCACCCCGGGGGTGCGTTGGTCGGGGAGGCGATTTCATCGGTATATCATCGCTAAATCCATTGGATCCCATCAAGGTATTTTTTTTAATAGTGGGTTTACCATGTTAAAACCATTGAAAACTATATGATATATATATATATATATATATATATGACCATTGGTTATAATTATAACATTAGTTATCAAACTATCATATGAGTTATATTAATACCCATAGGATCCATGGTGCTGTTATATATGGTGTGCCATGGATCCCATCAATATACCCCAGTCATGTTAGCATATGTACCAGCACCATGGATCCTAATTATGGGATATAGAATAGACCCCGACCCCCCCAGCCAGTCCGAGTCATGTTTCTTAAATGAGGTCAACCAGGGTTTCAATGTATTGACATGTGGGATTGTTCCGAAACATGGCAATCTTGATACCCCGTTTTTGATCCAAACAGATGGATGTCCAAAGACAGGGTTCCCCTAAAACCCCTTGGATAACTGGATAGTTCCTTGAAAATCGCCTGTCAATTGGGTATCCGCAATTCTTGGACAATGCCAAATATGTGGAATCAACGTTCAAATCAGGGTTTGCATGCAGAACATACATAGCCAAGAGGTGACCCTCAGAAAGAGGCGACTCTAGGTTTCATAGGTAGAACACACGTAAATAGTATCAAATTGTCCATTTCAGACATGCAGTTCAGATGAAATGATCATCGATGAAGATATCACTATCACGGAGATTCGCCTTCATGAAACATCACCATGGCAACAAAACGATGTTTGTAATCTACTCCACTGTATTCTCACTGGAGAAAATGAATGAAAATGATGGTTTCTTCACTGGCCCCGGGAGGTCTTCACAGGTTCTACCTCGGCACAAAGTCAAGGCCCGTTGGTTGAATACCCACCCCATTGATTCGGGTGAATATCCTATTATTTCCTGCCGATGTGATGATCCTCTCTTTTTTTTTATGCCTTTTTATCCCATTGATATCCTATTTATATATATATATATTATAATATATATATATATATATACCTAGGTCTTCCTAAGGGTCTACTTTTTTAGCCTCTCCATGCAAAACCTGGTTTTTAATCTAAGGGGCTGATTTGCAGTTTCAGCCGCTCTGAGTGTTGAGTGGCAGCATTTGGGTTCAAATGTGGTCTTCATTGGTCTTCACTTTGCTGCTGACCTACAGCAGGTGCACAACCTTTGTGGGAGGAAGGGACGCGATTCCAACAATTTAGAGGGGAGACTTTACTGCCCACACTGGTTCCAGCGCATTTTTTTCTGTTTTCGATCAGCTGATGTCGTTTGAAGAGCAGCATCGGCCTGTCCCAGGGCAGACTGTGGGTTCCACTGTTTCTTGTTGGATTAAATTATCATTGTGCTTGTTAATTTTGTCCCCTGGCTAGATGCAAGCTTAATGGCCTAATCTTTATTGTTTCAAAATCCAGTGCCATGCTCTGCCAGGTGGAGGCCTCATGGACCCGATCATCCATATCCAAAGTTGAAGGTGCCATCCGCCACCTGCCGGGCTGGACCAACTTGAAACTATGATTGGGGGCAGTCACAACCCAACTTTGGAAATAAGTGTCAAACACCCTCAATTGCAGGATCTTGATTGGCTCAAACTTTTTTCCCAGCTGGGAGTTTCTAAAAAAATGGGTGGGTCCCCACCGGAAAAAATTGCCAAAGAGCTGCACCAGATTTGGGAGAATGACGAGATGGTCCGCACTCGCTTTCGTGAACAAGGGTCTTTGCTGACATGGGCCGATCAAAAGTTGGTTGGTGTGCCATGTATGGCTAATGTTTCTGTCAACTCCCGGGTCCTGATTATGTTTGCTGACTACTTCTGTCCTTTGCAGAGTGGTCCCAAGTCACCAAATGTTGGGTTCCTCAGGTCTCAGGTAAGGGGTGGGAAAAAATGTTTTATAATTTTAAGTAAAATGGTTCGATCCACATTGTTAATTTAATAAGTCACCCATGTAACCAATTAAAGGCATATCCCTGGAGGTTAAGAAACTTCGGGCTTTGATGAATATTAAACCTGATGCGGTGAAGCTTCACTTGGATTCTTGGGGCGTCAAAAAGCTTTTCAGCTACATGATTCGAAAAGCTGGCAAGGACAAAGGGGAATGCAGCAGTGACCCGAGACGAAGAGAGCATCTTCTCATGTCATACTTATTGGGTTTGGTGGAAATCCATTTTTTAGATTTATAATATGTTAAAAATGATATTAAACTCATGTCCCCAGAAAGTATGGACCCATGGAATTTGAATACATGTAGACTGGGTCATCTCTATTCCTGCTTCTGCTAAGGACTATGCTGTGCAAATGGCCTATGATAATCTCTTCATGCACTGGGGCGTCAGGCTTCGCAAGGCCAAGTCCAAGGTTTTGGTGATTGATGTTGACCCCATGGAAGTTAAGCAGGAGGAGAAGGATTACCAACGGGCCCTTCTTGGGGATGAATGTGATGAATGTGACAATGATGATGTTGTCATCATTGATGACCCGTACCTTGACCCCATGTTCACCAATGAGGTTGACCAGGGTGATGATTGCCAGGGTGCAGACAAGAAGGGTGAGGAGTGTGATGTGAAGGGGATGGAAAAAGAACCTGTGGGGCCTCCCCGTGAAAATGATGATGTGTCTTGCATGAGCTCACCTTCGTCCGTCAATGTTGCCAGCATCAACCTGCGCATGCAACAAATCAAGTCCCTGGAAATTTCCAATAGGAAACAATTTTCGAATTTTCTAAAAGATTTTCAAAATTATTTCAAAAAGATTATGGGGTACTGTAAGTGTAGGGGTCCCATGATTTTCTCTTTTAAACCACCCCCAGCCCAGCTGTCACATATAACCTGTGCTGCCCAGGCAGAAGTTGGCTGAGAGGGCATTGGCCAAGGCAGCAAGTTTGCCAGCACCTGCAGCATCCTTTTCAGGCGCAGCCATCGACAACATGGAGACCCTTCCGTACCTGGTCCCAGAGTATGAGGATTCTCAGGAGTGCCTTTCTCCCACCAGCATTGTGACCCCGTCACCTTTGCTTTCAAGACTTCCTTCAACCACACCTGACAAAGTTTTGTGCCGTGGCCTGACTGAAGCATTCGAGCATGCAATGCCCCCAGAACCAGCATGCAAAGATATGGCACAGCAGCAGCAGCAGCAGCAACCCATGGCTGATTTGCAGCAGCAGCAGCAGCGACCCATGGCTGATTTGATGGAGCCAGAGAAGCCCTCACCACCATCCGGGGAGCATGTCATGCAAGTTGAACGCCTCTCCCTGGAACATGAGAAAGTTGGGGAACCTGAGAAGCATCTCCAACAACCTGGGGTTCCTCTCCAACAGCTTGCATCTGAACCTGGCAAGCCTTTCCAGGGGCCTGAACATCCTGGAGCAGGGGCACCTGACAAGGATGAGGATTTCAAGCTTGAGGAACCTTGCAAGCCTGTCCAAAAGCCTCAAGATTCCGAAGTTGGTGAACCAGAAAAGCAGGGGGAACTTGACATGCCTCTCCAACAGCCTCAGCATCCCGAAGTTGGGGAACCTGACATGCCTCTCCAACAGCCTCAGCATCCCGAAGGTGGGGAACCTGACATGCCTCTCCAACAGCCTGAGGATTCCGAAGTTGGGGAACCTGACATGCCTCTCCAACAGCCTGAGGATTCCGAAGTTGGGGAACCTGACATGCCTCTCCAACAGCCTGAGGATTCCGAAGTTGGGGAACCTGACCAGCCAGAGGTTGACCAACCTGGGAAGCTTCAACCAACTGAACACCCTGAAGCAGAAGATGAACTTGAGAAGCCTGGAGAGATTGAGGATGACGAGATTGAGGATGACGAGATTGAGGATGACGAGGATGTGGTGATGGTTGGGGAGAAGGGGTCTGATTCTGTTCCTGAGGTGAAACCTGGAGATAGCTTGGAGATTGAAAAGGACCTCGATATGGAGTTTGAGAAGGAAGAGGATGCCCCAGTTGTTCCGAGGGTGGACCAGTTCAAACAGAAGAAGGAGAACCACCCACCTGGACGCAGAGGAAGACCGCCCAAGAAAGGTGATTCCAAGAGTGGCAAGCCCCGTGCCAAAGCCACAGCAAAGGCTGAGGCAAAGTCAAAGGCAAAGGCCAAGGCTTCACCTAAGTCAAAGGCAAAGGCCAAGGCTTCACCTAAGTCAAAGGCCAAAGCCAAGGCTTCACCTAAGCAAAAGGTGGAGGGTTTGCTGCGTCCAAGTTCGAGGAGGCCCCGCATCTCCATCGATGACATCATCCCTCCAACACCTGCTCCACCTCGCCAGAGTATGCCTGAAAGGGGAGTGACAGAACCTGAGCCTGTGTCAGCACCTGCAGCCCCTCCAGCACCTGAGCCTGCTCCAGCACCAGCAGCATCTGGAAGAGGGAGGGCTGGGAAAAGGCGAGCTGCAGTACCTGCACCTGCACCTTTGGGACCTTCAGCATCTTCGGCGCCTTCAGCCCCAGCAACTGGCCCCGCTGAAGCAGCAGCAGCAGAAGTGGCAGCAGCGCTCCCAAAGAAGAGGGCCCCTAAGAAGCAGAAGAAAGCTGATCCCAATGAAAGTGTGCCTGTGCCCGACCCTGATGATTCTGGTGTCTCTGAGGCTGATGGGGGGAGGAAGGTCAAGGAGAAGTCCTTTGCGAGGAGGGCTATGCCGAAGACCCAACCTGCCCTGATGAAATGGAAGGCGATCCGTGACATTTTTCACCAGCAAGTTCGACCAGAGCTGGGTGAGTTTTCCCGTTTCCCAGGCCGTCATGAGGAGAAGGGTTCATCCCCAAATCCCACAAATCATTTTGAATCATCATGACACTTTAGATTTTCAGAGGGTTGGGTTTATATAATGTATATAATAATTTAATATATTATTTTAATATGTTATATGGTTTGTTATCTTATCCCATCTATTGTTGTTCTTTCTGCTTTGCAGGATCCATGGTGGAAGGTCTCTGTTGCCTGCTTTGCGGAGAAAGGGTGCCCTCCCAATGAAGAGGGTTGCAAGCGGCTGATCTACGAGTTGGTTGATGGATTTGTCGCGAACGAAAGGTCAAAGTTACCACAGGAATGAGAGCCAAACCACTTGTCTTTTTGAAAGCCATGTGTGATAACACGTGACTTGCTGGGGTCTTCAGCATGTGCGAACACATGCGGTATGTTCATCATTGGATCCACCGTTGGATCAACTCGGAGCAAGAAAGCGAAGGGAACCAAAGAAAAGGTGACAGGCAGTGTAATTGTGGTGGGAGATATTTTGAGGTATTTAAAAAAACGATTCAAAAAATGGTTCAACAATCAATTAATACATATTATCCAGTGATTATACCAAACCCTTCCCCTTGTACATCCATGAGTGGTTCTACCATCTCCCTCGCCTTGTGTCCCGCTCGCAGGTCATGCCGGGAAGTTTTTCCATCAACCTGGCCAAGTTCGGTGTTGGGGCCGTTGGTGCAAGCTCATCCAGTGCCCTCTGAGGGAACATGTGGGCATGTGCAAATGGTCATTTTGGTGAAAGCCACTCTTACAACTTGATTTTTTATCACTTTTGACACTGCAGCTTTTGACATCGAACCATTACATATAGGCCATCGTTGCCAATTCCCATGTCGCCATCCCAAGTGGAGATTTTGATCAGAAGATTATTCACAATGGAAGTCCCCAAGGAAACATAGATGCAATAAGAATGGTTTTTCAATATTGTTTTTGCAACTCACCCCCACCCCTGCTAGTGCATCTGTACTAAGGAAGTAATCTTCTTGGTGCTGCTGGTGCACTGGATGGGGGTGGGTGAAGACTCTGGATACCAAGTGCTGGAATACTTTGCGGGAGTTGCTCATATAGCTACCTTGGCAAAGGCAGTTGGATACAAGTCATTAGCCTTTGAGCGTAACTTTGGTAAAGCCTCAAAGAGGTTGGGAAAGAGGAGCCCAATGGACCTCAACAGCAATGCTGGGCTTGTGTTCCTTGGATCAAGTTATAATATAGGTATATCGTAGTCATATAATGTCATATATGGTATATGGTAGTCATATAATGTCATATATGTCAAAAAATATAATATAAATACTATTGATTTAAAAATATATTCCCGAACTATCCCCAATATCCAGGTTTTCTTACATGAACTTAGGTTATCCCTTCTCAGGCTTGCCATTGCTTGGATCTTACGATCTGAGTTTGGCCTCGTGGTGGCACTCTTCGCTGTTTGCTGCTCGAGCTTTGTTCCTGTGAACCGAGGGACGGGGGCAAGGTCTCTTCTAACACCTCTAGGGGACATGTTGGTGCCATCAGTTCGCCGATCAAACAAACTAATGTCTCGGACTGGGGTTGCTTCAACATGAAACTTGATGTTGTTTTTTTGAAAAAACATGGCAGCAATGTTTTGAGTCTCATAGTCCAGAACTGCTACCCTGAAGGACGGTATTACTACAAACTCTTTTAGTAGCAGCTGGTGGTGTCATTGCTATGGAGAACCCACAGAACTCCCTTGTTGCACTTCATGATCGATGGGTCTGGTTGCTGAACACCCTCCTACGCTTTGGTATCCAGGCTCATCACTCATGCTACATTCACATGTGCTTTTCCAACTTCCCAAGTTGATTCCTATTACTCAGCCTGCCCTGCCAGGTCTTTAAAGTCAGCTTTTGGATGAGGAAGCATGCTGCTTTAACTTGGAAGAGGACATGGGTGTGGTGTACGTCCGACATCATACAACGTCTTGACCTAGGCCCCCTCAACCCAGAAGAGCGGGTGTGTCAGGTCAAAACTACAAAGCAATGGGTATGTCCCAAAACTGGAAAGAAAAAATTTCAGGGCAACCGCAACTTGAAAGGGACCCAGTAACTTGACTATATATAATATGTCATATTTTGTGATATGTTATGTTATGTGTTAATTGTGCACCCCAACCATTCATAACCTTTCCATGTCCCATGGCCCGTCTCCAAGGGAATATACATGGAGATTTGCTCGCCACTTCGTTGAATTGATCCCAGCCTTCCGGGAAAGCTCAAGGGTGTCCATTCCTCCTGCGGTGCATGGACTGCAAAACAGAAATAACATATATGATCAATGCATATCTATAGGTGTCAAAGGTATATATAATAGTTCTTTGAAGATGTGTTTCAGCTAATAGGATTATAAATATAATACTACTGCCTGCTGTTTCCAAGGACCCAATGGTTCCCATTTTGGAGCTGTTCAAGAAGAAGACATTTGATACTGCCTGGGATTCCCACGCCGATCTCCGGGATGTAATTGTTTACTGTCGGGGTTCCAAAATGCTTCAGATTCCTACTGAGTGGCGCCCATGGCTACCAACGTCCATTTGAAAGGGCAGCTAGCTAGTGGGCTTGGATGTTGCCTGTGGAAGGAAAACAAATTATAGCTCGATCGGATCATCAAATGCTCTTGCAAGTCATGCATGACACTTTTCATGCCTCATGAAGTTTTTTCATGCCTCATGATTTTTTTTCATGCCTCATGATTTTTTTCATGCGTTATGAATTTTATTATGATCATGACATTTGTCATGCCTCATGAAAAAATGGTACAAAATCACAATTCTTGAGAGGCGGGAATGGCCGGTCTAGGGGCGGGAATGGCCGGTGATGCTTTTTAGCCTCACCTAGAAATAGATCTGTGGGGCATGGTTCGCCCTTTGGTATCCCGTGTGTTTTCATCTTCAACACTGATGGATGGCTTAGCTTTGACCAAAGTGGAGCCTGGCTTGGATCTTCCAGATGACGATGATGCTTTAGCCCAAGAATTGGAACAACTTCAGGAGTGAGGTTTTGCTACCAAAATCAAAAATCATATCAGAAATTCTGATAGTTTTTCACCCATGTCCTACCTAGGTAGGTTACATGATCCATGGTTGGGCCAATCGTTTTTTTGGCAGGAGCTCAAGAACAAGCTTCAGGCGGATGCTTTGGGTGCAGCTGAGCCTGTACCTGCTGGTGATGGTGGCCCCCATGGTCTTCAAGCTCTAGATTCCCTAGATGATGATGGCTTTCAAATCATGTTTGAAAAGATAGTCCATGGATGTGTGCCCCGGCCATTTTTGAAACTCAACACTCAACGACCTGACCAGGGTTGATGGAATACTTATATGACTTATAAGTATAATATATTATATATTATGTATATTTGGTGTTTGTGTCTTCGCTCTTTCATGTTTGATATAAGGTGCCCAAAGTTGAAAGCGCCACGGACGAACAGCTTTTTGGCAGCCCTGTTCAGGCCAGATCTCCTGTTGTGAGTCCCTTATCTCTTTAGAATGATTTTATACCCAGTTGACCCAATTGCTCCAGTTACACCACTTGCAATGACAAAGACAACAAACACCCGTGGTGACCTTAAGAATGCTTCATTGACTAGAAAACAATCATCTTATTATATATATAATAAATGTATCAATTATAAGACATATGTTCCCACATCCTGAATTCACCCGGTGTGGGTATGTGGCCCACCAGCTGTCCTTCAGGCGGTGGATCCATACGTCCAAGACTTGGACATGGAAGATGGCCTGCAGGATTTCTGGGCGCGGCAGGTCGAAGAGGATGCGGAAAAACGCAAAATCTATCAGCCTGAGATGATCTCCCCCCAAAGATCTTTGAGCTATAGTGGCACTGAAGTGGTTTGGCTTTTCAAAATGATATGGTATGGTATGGTATGGTCATTGTGGTGGGCTAGTTCAAAATCACAAAACCATTTTGTACTTTCAATTTTCATCAGTAGTTGAAGAATATCTTCATGGGTAGAACTTCAAACTTGTATATCCGGTTCATCAACAAACTTGTCTTTTATGATCCATATGCTGGTAAGGGGTTACAACTTTGGGTGACTTATCTCTTGCCAGAAGTTGTTAGATGTTCATCTGCAATTTATTTACTTGTTCGTCCTATTTGTTTGGGCTTAGGGGATCCGTATGTTGGCCCTCGAAAACCCTCACCCAACCATGGCACCATGTTTTTCTTATATATTTGTATACAATATATTATTTTATATATCTAATATATATTATATATTATATTTATATATTATATATTATATATTATATATTATATTTATATATTATATATAATATATAAAACATTATATTATATATTATATATTATATATATTATATATTATATTTATATATTATATATTATATATTATATATTATATTTATATATTATATATAATATTAGATATATTATATATATTATATATATAAATAGGTTTGTATTGAATTTCAAAATACCATGTCATACCATATCATATATATTGTATTGAATTTCACATCGTGGAACTCAATATAAAAAAAAAAAACATATGCCTGGAGTCTTGAATATAAAACTGATACTTTAACACATCCTGCCCAGGCTGATTCTGTGTCTCCAACCTCGCCGTCCACGTTGGCCCCTGCCAGCCAGAGTCCTGACAGCGGCTCTAAGTCTGGTGGGTCGGCTGGACTTCAACCATTGACTAGACAGGTCATGTTGAAGCGGCTTGCGCGCTTCTTCAAACCCAGGGCTGATGGATCCTACTGTGTTTCAGAAGACCTTGTCAAGTTGTGGCATACCGATGAAGGTAAAGAACAGCTACTGACTGAGTTTTCTAACTCCGGCTATGACAAGGAGTCTTCACAATCTTTTCAAACAATGTTTATTGTTTCAAACAATGTTTATTGTTTCAAACAATGTTTATTGTTTCAAACAATGTTTATTGTTTCAAACAATGTTTATTGTTTCAAATTCTTTCAAAAAATGTAATTTATTGCCCGTGGTGTTCCAATTTCCCTCCAGGAGGTGATGGCATCCCGTTGTCTCAAGCGTATCAGGGAGAAAATCTCTGAGCAGGAGATGTGGGTGGAAGGAGAATTTGCGTCGGAGATTGATATGCGTGATGAGTTGAAATTTTCGGAGTGACTCAGCTCAAAACCCCTATACTTACTAGTATACTTACTATGTAATATTGGGTTCACTTTGCAACTTGCAGAAAAAAAATCCAACACTTGAAAGTATGTAATGCAGTAAACAATTCTGGGTGGGGAATAGCTGAGGAACCGGATCAAGGCCATCAAAGCGGAATGTGAGAAACGCCGTGGATGGACTAGGTGCGTGCTTCTGCTTGTTTGGACTTGGACAAGTAGATATATGTTTGCTTTGTTCCCCCTGTGCCTCTAAATATATTGTAATATTATTCCTCCTTTGGCAGGCGGGATCGCTATGAGAAGCACATAGTCCTTTTTTGGGTGGAGAAGCGGATGGCTGGTAAGATGCTGCACCTAAGCTGCGCCAGATCTGTAGGACATATTATGGATTAGATGATTTTTGGGTACCCAATTCTACTTGACATATCTCATATTATGGACTATCAAAAAACCGATTGCCCAGGAAGAAACGGCGATCTGTGCTCAGAGAAGAGGAAGACACAGATGATGAATTTGAAGAGAAGAACGATGACTTTGAAATGAATACCTGGAGCATGAAAGCCCAGCCTGAGACAGGTACCCTGTGATGATTTGATATCATTTGGTCATGATCCTAATTTCTCTTCACAGTATCCCAACCGTCATTCCCAAGTCAGTGTCCTCCAGGTGATGATGGGCTTTCCAAAGCGGAGAAAGCCCAAGCTGACAAGGAGCATGCCTGGGCCAAAACAATGAAGTCTGTGAGTTGGCCCGAAATGGATGATGATGCTGTCCCATCGGCCTATGTGGGTAAGGTGTTGGCTTGTTTGGGGAAGTGGCAGCTGAAAGTGGGACAGCTGCAAGCCTACCTCGAAGAGTTTGACAAAAATGATGCCTGCATTTCTGGGTTGCTAGGTTATACCTTTACTCATGGTGACCCATTGTAATGATGGTGAAAAGGGGGCTCATATAATATATCCTCTGTATACGATCTATGATAAAGTACTGTGCTATTACTGTTACTGTATACATATTATCATAATTTATAGAATATATTTTCTTTCGGACAGTTCCCATATATGCTTTTCTGATAGACTAGGCTGGCCGGCTTCACCTGAGGCTTCTCAAGCAGGGTCAATCGGTGGCCACGGCACTCACTGCTGTTGCTGACAAGTTGGATGACATAAACAAGCAGGCAGTTCTCAACAATTTGGAAGATGAGTTGCTTGCCTCTTGCTGTTCCACTTGGTAAGTTAGCAATTACCCTAGCAGAACCTATTAGAAGATGGGGTATGGGTATAAGTAGATAAATATAACAACTTGTAACAACCATCTGCGGCTGAGGCAGCAGGATCGGTCGAAGGAAGAGTTCAAAGAGGCGAAGCGAAGGTGGGGCACATGTGGTGGCCTTTTTTATAAACGGTTTATGACGGTTGTGTTTCCCCATATAACCCTATGGAAAAAAGAAAAGAACAAGAATCCTCTGTCTAGTTTATTGCCTTCATTCACCATATGTGCCAGGCACATGCACACACAGACCAAAGACCTGCCTGTGTTGGCATCGCTGCAGGTGCGTGGAAGCCCTCAACCTATCCAGCCGGTCACAGTATGACCCTGAGATGTGCTGAGATGTGGTTCACAATTTGCTGGTTGGGTTCACATGTATCAGTGTGAAGTTTCATTCACAAAAAATTGCAATGAGAGAATGAAAAAATTAAAACTAGATCACGTGACAATGTAAAAAAAACAAATTTACCTCTAACCTTTAGTCTATACAACATGTCTCAACTTGCATGATATGATGAGGCCGTACCTCAACCATGCCAAGAGGGAGATGAGGAAGCGCTCGGTGGACGCGGAGAACCAACCCGAACAGAGACGTGTAAAGGTTGAAAGAAGGGGCCGATGAGTTTAATCAATGATGATCTAGATGCAAATCTTTAGCGCAACAAATGTGCGAAATGAAATTCAAGAGCTTGGCTGTGCTTTTTTAGGAGCTTTTGGCCTAGCTCGCTCAGGGATCCAAATCTGAGAGGAAAACCAATGTGCATGCATGCATTTCTGATTCTTGATGACAGCTTGAAACTTCCAACAAGCCTATCCATTTTTGATGCATATATTGCAGAAAGTAGAAACTATAAAACTTGATCCCAAAAGTAATGCTCCAGGTACTGAGAATGCGGGCCCTGTTCTATCCCATATGGTCGAAGTCATTGCTGATGGGGTTGGGGGCTCAATGCCAACATTCGAAATTTAAATTGGTGGGTTGTTGATTCTCGATCACCCTTGTATACCACCATGGCCAATCGCTGCAACTGGCTGAGGCCCCTGCGAAGGTGCTCACCGAACATCGGAATGCCCTGGCTGAAGAGAGGGGAACGGAGAGGAAACTCAGTGAAAAAAACGCTTCAAGACATCACAAAAGAACTGTTAAGAGACATTCATTTGCAATGGGTATTCCCATTTCCAGCTATGTGCATGAAGAGGATGGCCGCTCTGTTGCCATCAAATGGTTGCGGCCATCAAACATTCTTCGATACCTGTTGAATTGGTATCCCAGCTTGCTACTTGGTGGATTTGAACCCGGCGTGGAAGCAGAAACTATGCTTTCAACCTTCTGGAAACAATACCGTTTGAACCATCCAAGTCATGCAGTGTTTAGCCAGAATTTTGCCAAACATCGATGCATCCCGCTCAATTTACATGGGGATGGTGCCCGGACTCAAAAGAAACAACCGTTGGAAGTGGTTTCATTGGAAGCAGTTCTGGGACTAGACAGCTTCAAGTGCAAGCAATGTCATTGTGATGATTGCGATTGTCCAGCTCCTTTGGGGGCTTCTGCAGCCAATCAATGTGGGAATCCTTTGGTTCAATGCCTCAACCATCGTTACCACACCTACTTGTCAAGGTTTCTTGTCTTTGCATTCCCGAGCAAGGAAATCAAGATGCCAGGCCTGCTTGAAGCTCTCCTCAAGATGACTGCCGATGACCTTGGCTGGGTTTGCAACAATGGACTTGACACAACCCATGGACACTGGAACTTTGCGGTATTGGGGTACAAGGGCGACATGGAATACCATGCCAAACTGAATCTACGGCGATCTTATGCCAATGTTGGTCATACAAATCAGATTCGTTGTTGTCATGAGTGCCTAGCTGGGGATGCTCTTCACCCTTTTGAAGACCCAAATCCATCAGCTTCTTGGCTGACTACCCGGTACACATCCTTACCTTGGACTAGTTCGCCCTTTACAAACATTCCTTTCGAAGATTGGGGAGGTGCTGCAGATGGCCGAGCAGCCATGTTCCTTCGGCGGGATACATTCCATGTGTTTCGATTAGGAATAGCTCGAAATTTCATTGCATCAGTAATCATCCTGCTTGGAATCCATGGACTTTTTGATGATGGCGAAACTGATTTCAGCATTGAGAGGCGCCTGAAAACGGCTTGGTCACAATGCTATTTGTGGTGTTGTACAAATGGATCAAAACCAGCCAGTGTCCGTTCCTTCACCCGTGAGAAGCTCCACTACAAGAGGGGGTCGTACCCATGGATTTCTTGCAAAGGATCTGATACTGTGATTTTTCTGAAGTGGTTACAATTCTATATCAAGCTGATCATGCCACAGCATGTTGGTGGGCCCCTTGCGGTGTCACTTGACACGATGCTGCTGGGTGTCCAAGCTGGGCTGTCATTCACCAAGGACATCCACCGCCATGGCTTGTTCATGCAAAAACAATGCCAGTTGAAACTTTGGAAAGCTTGTAGCTCCTTCCTACGTGCTTATGCTGTGCTGGCTGCAAAATCCCTACAAGAAGGGCAGTCCCTTTTTGGACTTGTACCAAAATTCCATTCGATGGCCCACTTTAAAGCTGACATACACGATTTGTTGAGGCAAATGAGAGCTGGTGGTGAAGAAATTCTTTTGCTGAATCCAGCAGTTTTTGATTGCTCTGGCAATGAAGACTTTGTGGGTAGAATTGCAAAACAATCTCGTCGGATAGGATTTAAACTGGTGCTGGACAACTTGATCCTAGCTTACTTAGTAAAATTCAAATTCACTTTGAAACGTCGCTTGCAAACTCTGCAGAGCTGAAGTGGGAAAAAGTGTCTTCAGATCTCTTCAGCTATCTCCAGCTTGATCCAAGGAATCCAAGGGACTCTAAGGGGCTGTTCTAGCACCTCAGGGGCATTTCTGATGTCCAAAAATAGAGGGGCAAAAATTCTGCAGCACCGGAGGATGTAGGTATATATATATATATTTATCATTTTATATCCATGTACTACGGCTACACATGCTTTGCAGATGCTTTTTTATCAGGATCATTGGCTCAGTTAGTGAAAATGCCTTCGCAATACAACATGGGATGCCTGGGCTTATAGCCAGAGCGTCAAAGAAATCCCAAGAACATGATCGCGATGGATACTTCGCCAGAACATGTTGGGACTCTTACCTGTGTCCATAGGTGGATGTGGGTCAAAATGGAAGACCGTTAAGGGGACCACAGATGGAAATGTCTAGTTTAGTATTAACCATCCAATTATTGAGGTACCTAATTTTGACCCATACCCAGGTATACTTTCGGGCTCTAGATATCCAACAATCCGTACGGATGCGCGCGGGCTGGATCAGAACCTATTCTGATTCTGAAGCTAGTCTACGGTATTTTTGGGGACAAATATTCATATTCAGCAGCTGTTTTACTGCGCAACCAGGGAATTCCAGTGTTTTGAACCATACTCCCCAAAGGTCAAAAAGTAAAAATCAATAAAAATCACATAGAATCCTGAAATAAAGATGAATTGTTACTTGTCTATCCTTTTGGGGGTTGAAATATGCACTAGAGATGATATTTTCCTCATAATTCCCAGGAGTCCACTTGCTCTATAAGAATATGGAGGTGAATATGGTGAATTATGGTTAAAAATACTATAATGAGGTAAGCTTAAAATGCCACATTTTTACCATCCCCTAATAATTTTTTGGGTTTCTTGCTGGTGAAATCACCATGAAACTGATGGTTTAGGCTGATCCCCTGGATGTTTCGCCCTTCCAATGGCGAGGTTTCGATCCCCTGGTGGTGCCTACCCTGGTGGATCGGCTGAAGAGAAAGGTGGTGGTGGATTCCAAGGTGCAGAAGAATGCTGAACCGTTCTGGGGTGGTGATGGGAAAAGCGAAAGTGGAAACCATGGGTTTTTACTCCCCCATAGTATAAAGGGTTCCCAGGTTTCCTGTAATTTGATGTAATTTTTCCATTCATCATACAATCTTTTGGAGATGGTTGATACTAGAATTGACCAACTGTAGGACTTGATCTTCGCAGACATGTTTTTTTCTTTAAAGTTTATGCGTCTTCGATGTCTCGTGACTTCAAGAAGACCTTGAACTGACCATCCATAGACACCACGTGCAGGTCATCTGTGAGTACATTGAGAACGAGATTCCAAGCCCCGTTCTGATGCCTCCAGATGCTTGCCGGATTTGGCTGGGACATGCAGGGTGCTGAGCTGGGAACTTGCTGATATGCCCCACAAAGAGGCTGACTGTGGTACTGGATCTATCACAGTGTTTATCTATATATTATATCTACCACAGTTATGCACGTGTGTATTTTATATTGGATGAATCAGTTGGGAGCAAATACATAGTCGTTCCATGTCTTTCCGACATCCTTGCAGCCGAAAAATGTGTTCATTCTCTTGGATGTTATAAGATATACGATTGCATATGCATCTCCTCGTTGTTCAGCACCGATCCAGGTTGATGATCTCATCACATAAGCAACACACCTTGGAATCAGGTTGGCCCTGTCAGGGCCGGTGGCCCATCTTCGGCCCGTCTTCAGCAGCAAAGGCTCATCGGGAGCTCATCAAGAAACATCTGACGCTGGTGGATGAGACTCCCCACATGGGCATGCTCTATGGCTTGCACCTGTCGGACATGCTTCAGGATGATCAAGGATGGTGAAGGTATGTGAAGGTAACATAGATCCACGGATGATCTGGATGAAAGCCCACTGTAAAATATGAATCATACTCTTATATCTCTAAAAACTGAAAACGATCGAATTTCGCAGAAACGAAAGGTTCAGATCTAATTTTCACAACCAAAATAAACATTCCTAACTTCAAGACTTCAGGGAATTTTCTAGACTTCAGGAGGTTTCTTTCACATCAAATCATGTTGTATCACTGGAGGTTCACACATACCTGATAAGATGTGAAAGAAACCTGATAAGATGTGAAGAAGCCATTTTGATTTCTGGTTGAAGAACCTGGTAAGATGTTTTCAAAACCTGATTTTCTGAAGCCATGTATTATTTCGCTCATGCTGACAGGACAAGCTGGTCGTGGCTTTCGCCAAGTTGATCAGCACTGCACATGCAGGACAGCTTATTGAAAAGAAGCTATGGAAGCCCACAGCGTTCCAAGATGTGCCAAGATATGCCAAGATGTGCCAAGTAGCAGCTGAAAGAGCCTGAAAACACATATGAAAACACCAGGGCTTGGTAAATGTCGTTGTTTTTTGATTCTGAGTGGAGGACAGATCAAAAGCGTGGAGGCTTACCTGGCAGATAGCTCTTTGCCCTCTGATCTGCGACCGCTCTACGAAGCCAAGAAAAAGAAGACAGGCCGTTTGCAGTTGTCTTTTTTTCCATCGCAGATGGGGATCGACCTAAATCATTAATTATTGATATTATTATTACATGACTACTGTAAGGTTCTGTAAATGTTTAGGGGCCAGATTGGGAACCAATTGGAACCCCACAGACAAATTAGAATTGTCCATCATTATTTTGAGTTGGGAAGCAACAAATACATGGTGGGTACAATGATTCCAATGATCCAATCCAGGAAGAGGGTGGTACAATCATCGTCATGAACGTCATGAACGTCATGAACGTCATGAACGTCATCGTCATCATCGTCGTCATCAACAAACATCTACTGCACATTACTGCACACTTTACAACATCCACTTCTTTTCAGCCTGATCCAAACATCATCACAATCTCCCCTTTGTCCTTATCGTTGCGCGCAGAACTGGCACAGAGTCGCGTGGGGAAGTCGGGCGGAACAAAGGAGGGCTACAAGGAAATGCTGAACAAGGCGCATCTTCGGCTAAAACGTTGGCATTTCATCGGTGGTTTCGTTGACGTGTTTGGTCTTCAGGTGGCAACTTTCCTGTCAGAGCTGGAGAGTGACTTGAAGGCAACAGGCCGGAGGCGTTTACGTCTCGTTCAGGGGAAATCATATTACAAGATACTACCTTCATGAGTTGATGGTACAAATTATATAATGGATTATAATGAGAATTCAGTTGGAGCAACCCCATGATCGTGTGACTTGATTCTCTGAGTTTAATTACTGTTAGCCAAAATTCGGCCCTTTGTATTGATGATATATCGCCACTTGTTTGCAAATGAACTTCCCACTTTCCATTTTGGCAATTGGCAATTGCAACAGCGTCGGCCTTTCGCTCTTTGAGTTGATACGATTGCATATCTCCCTATTTTCAGTATATATCCCAGCCCCAGAAAATATCGAAGAGTCACCTATCCTTATTCTAGTAAGAGTGCACTTTTCTATCTTGCCCTTGCAGTTTAGTTAACTTCAATTCATCATCTTGGGATCGACAGGTGGTCCTTTCATTTGTGGCGCGGAGTGTACCATGGCGGATCTGGTCTGGCACACCTCCCTGTTACGGCTCTATGAGCTCGGTTTCGATGGCTTGTTTTCGGAGGACGCTGGGAACTGGGAGAAGTTGTTGGACCATGGAATTTTAAACCCCAAACGTTGGGATGTGATGTCCCCAGGGTGGTTCCACCCACAGTTGGAGAGTTGGAAAGTCACCAATAATGGCATTTTTTCATGCTAACTATGGAGATCCATACCCACCCAGCTATTCTTTGCAGGCTATTTGAGAGTAGGAACACCCTGGAAAACCATAGATTGGCAGGTGATTGTGGGATAACCAGTTTCTGTGGATCAGCTGTCCCTGGACATCCAACACCGAGTCACCATCGTTTCAGATCTTCCACGCACCAAATGCTTGCGGCCGAAATCTTCAAAGATCTAACATGATCTACCCTCTGGTAATTTAACATAGCTATGGAAAATCACCATTTTTCATGGGAAAATCCACTATAAATCACCATTTTCAATAGCTATGTTAGTCATTACCAGAGGGTAACATGATCTAACATCATAAACAGCGTTGTTTCAACATCTTCACTTGGGCGAAAAAAGAAACGACTGGATCTGGGTGCCGAGCTGCTCGTGATTCCAGATCAGCTTCCTGGTGATATCAGCGCTGCGAATCCCATGTTTTTTTCCAAATTCGAGACCATCACTGGGTCATAATAGTGTAATTAATTGTAGTAAATATATAACAGCATCTAACTATCAGTTATGAGTTATATTGACTATATATAAATATAGATATAGATATGGTTTATATAATATATAATATATAATTATATATATATATATTATGTTTAGATATAACTTATAGCAGCATGGCAATCTGAAGATGATCCTGGGCAGGAGAAGTTGCCCAAAGTGCACCAGCCGCCTGGATTTTTGTTGAAACCGGGGAAGAGATGCCGGAAATGAAGCAATAACAAGTTATAGAAGTTATATACTGGTTGGTTGTTTGGAACATTTTTATTTTTTCCATATATTGGGAAGAATCATCCCAACTGACGAACTCCATCATTTTTCAGAGGGGTAGGTCAACCACCAACCAGATATATATATATATATCAACATATCCCCAAGTTATCTAGTTATATATCTAGTACAACTAGATCAGTCATGAAGATCAAGCTGGGTAAATTATAGTGACCTCACTGAGAATCATGGTGAATATCGGGAACCATCTCCATGCTGGGCCGAACTCTTCCAGCACAAACATTCAATGGGATATTTGAGGACTGTAAAATAGAGGTACTCCATAAATATAGTGACAATGTATATATATATATTATGATATATATATAATATACTCTATTGTATAAAACCATATGTTTTGTTTTTTTTTGGGGTATATCCCTTTACGTAGCCAGATATGTGTACTTTAAGGGATTGATGTTTCGGGATGGTTTTTTTTTGGAAAGGTTGCTGGTGCACATAAGGAATTGACCGGCTGATTGACTCAACGCTAACACCAGAAATTACTGACTGACTGCATGAATGAATCAATGACTGAATAAATAAACGAATGATGATCAATTGGTCACTTTATTCTTTGATTCATATATATATATGATAAGGCCATGAGGAAGATAGGGGACCAACCAATATATCAAGGATTCCAAGGAATGGATTCTGTTGGGTTTACCAAATCCTCGCACTACCGAATCATAGCTGATTTTCTACAAGGTCAAAGCGATTTAGGAGGTATCAATTAGATTCTACTGAAGCAAAATCTTCGCTACTACAACTAGGCCAATGCTTTCAACTAAGTGGCTATGGATCAATACCTATTAATACCATTTTTAGTGGGATGAACATCCATTTACCAGCTATTTTGATGTTCACCAGGGGTACAAGGTTTTGACCCATCCCCAAGTATACAGTGCTTTGACTTTTGAGTCAGACATTTTCATGAATTCCCCGCCTCACCCCACCCATAGGTTCATCAGCCTCATCAGCGCAGTCACAAGGTATGCCATGCGCATCCTTCGCCATGAGGGCTTTGCCCAGGCCACCTACCTGTGGCCGTACAAGCCGGTGACACGCAACTTGCGACGGCTAATGGCGGAGAAGAAACCTGTGCAGGTGGGGAAGATCGAGAGGGTTTGTATTAGGTGATTGGGTCAAAAATAAGGTCTCTGTTTTTTGGATATATATATATATATATATGTATATATATATATATGTATATATATATATATATATGTATATATATATATATATATACAATATACATATATATATATATACATATATATATATATATGTATATATATATGTATATATATATGTATATATATATATATATATATGTATATATATATATAGTGTTAGATACCGTATGTAGTGTTTGAAAAGGGTATGTAGTGTTCGGTATATCGTGTTAGGTCGTAGTAGATAGGCATCCTTAAATCCATGTATGTTCAGTCCCCAAGTCATGTTGATTTTGTTTCATCGCAAATGTTGGCACGTCTCGTGATGTCTCGTGCTTGTTGGCAATTGACATTCTTGCCAGGCTTTTGTAATGAATCTGATGTCCAAGATGATTCTTGGTGGCTGCAGTTGCTGCTGCCTGTAGAGCTTGGAGAGGTTGCAGTCTTCCAAAGGACTGAACGACTGTGTGAAGTGATAAGATTATATAATCGATCTTAAACGGAGGATTCCTCATTGCCATGTGACATTACCAGAGAGTAGCTGCAAAAAAACATCAAAGATGTTGGTATGTTTTGGATTGTTTGAATGGGTAAAATCAAATGTCCTGAAGTATTTACCCAATATTTTTTGTTAATTTTGGTAAGTTTGGATTGGACTAAGGTAGTCCACGATTGTCTCAATGCGTTTTCGAAGACATTTTTGTACCACTGTCCAGCCAGATGGTTCCAGCGCAACTGCAGAACGCCACAGTATTAGTTCTGAAAGGTATGGATGCCGAACATTTTGTTGGTGGGTTCACATCTATGTAAGTGTCCTCCAATGTATATAAGCCCAAACTCTCAAAATCTATACTCAACGTGTCAAAACAACATGTGCAGTAAAAAATGCACATTTTCATGGGCCATTCATTGGTATATTCAGGGTCCAGGTATGTTTGAAACACTTACTGTACCAGTGTGCTTTGCAGCTGGGATTTAGGGCCAGTCGCTTTGCCTCCCAACTGTATCAAGTTGACTGCGGTTGAAAGCGCCACAAGTGCCCACCAAAGTTGTCAACTTCGCTGACTAATTTTATGGTCACAGCACCATGCACCGTGACCCTGAATTGGTTGAGAAAGAAATGGACGAATTGCATAAACCCATATATTTCGTTGGTAAAAAAAGACCAGTGATTGCCTGATGCTTCCTGTAAGATTTCCCGTGAATGGGTCTCCGTCCACATCATGAGATCGGCTTTCAAACTGCCCGGCTTGGTTCAGAAACGGGGAGAATTCCCCCCAGGTTTCAGGGAATAGCAGATACGAAAACCAGATCGTTGGACGATAAAACTTAAACCCATGATAAGACCAACATCTACAGTTGAAAATCAGTTGAAACCCTCATATTTAGCAAACCATGGGAAAAGCAGCTATGGAAACAGTGCGAACACCAGGTTTGATTTTCCCTCAACATCCTCAACCATTGAGAAGTCTCAGGTGCCGTTGAACATGCAGAGATTGAAACTTGCATTGAGGTGCCAAATGTGGGGAGACTGGGTAGTTGAATGGGTTAATTTTGAGGCATTTAAATACGGGAAGGCGCTGCTTAGACAGATCCTTTTTGCAGGATATCTATAATTGGCCGAGCCACATCATCATGACATGGGTATTTAGCATGGCCAAAGTTAAGGAATGTTAAGGAAATTTCTAGGGGCGCATTCATAGCATCGTAAGGGGTCTAACATACCCAATACCCCCAATAGTAATCCCAAGATATCCCTCCCTAATTTTGATTCTCCCAAGAAAGCTGAATTCCTAACGGTTCGGCATCATTCTTCCTATAGTTTACCCATGTTTGCCCAATTTATCCCCAGAACTTCCTTTAGCATCCCCGAAAAAGGTGTAAATGTGTTTCCAGGATGGTGTGGATAATTACAGTATGTTCCACATATTTTCGAGGTTTCCAACCTTTCCATCTATTTGGGGGTTGCTATAGATGGGGTGGCAACGACTGCCCAAATCTGCCCAACGTCCAGGCATGACGTGCCCATTCGCTTCCGGCAATTTCAAAGCACCACCAGCCGCTGGTCGTAGCTTCATTCGGTGCATGGATAAAGCAAAGTTATCCAAGGAAACATGGTGAGTTCACAATATTCATCAAAGAAATTACACTGGCAAGAGACACCAAACAGTGTGGGGGGTGGGAAGCCAATGTACCAGATACAATCAACAGTAGCTATGGAACAGTAACCGGTCAGGCTAGACATTATCCCAACTGGCAGTAGGACCTACGTAGATCTATCTATCTATCTAATCTAATCTAATCTAATCTAATCTAATCTAATCTAATCTAATCTATCTATCTATCTATCTTTCTATCCAATCCATCTATCTATCTATCTATCTATTTATCTAATAATTTATCTATCTATCTATCTAATAATTTATCTATCTATCTATCTATCTATCTATCTATCTATCTAATTAATCTGTCTATCTAATTCATCTATCTATCTAATTAATCTATCTATGTAATTAATCTATCTATCTAATTAATATGTCTATCTAATTAATCTGTCTATCTAATTAATCTGTCTATCTAATTAATCTGTCTATCTAATTAATCTGTCTATCTAATTAATCTGTCTATCTAATTAACCTGTCTATCTATCTATCTATCTATCTATCGATCTATCTATCTATCTATCTATCTATCTATGTATCTATGTATATAGAGGATCTCACAAGATCTTCATACAAGAGCTTCCTAGGAGCATCCCAGGAAAAAACATCGTCAAACAAGCGCCACTACCAATGCAGAGCATCTTGAAGATCTTGATGCAAGCACCTCCTAGGAAGGATTTCAACAGGATCTCTACAAGATCTTCTCGCAAGGACCTGTAGGAGATCATGTAAGGAATCCTAAAGGATTTTACCAGGAAATCTTCAAGGGCTTCTCACAAGGACTTGTACAAGATCATGCAGAGGCCCCTGACAGCATTTCACTAGGATCTCCGCAAGATCTTCCCACAAGGACTTGTAAAAAACCTTGACCAAGATCTTCATGCCAGGATCCCTAAGAGAAGCTCACAAGATCGTCAAGAAGGACCCTGCTTACAAGATCTTGATACAAGAACCTCCCAAGAGCCTCCCACAAGAGCTTTCATACAAGCACCTCTAAGACATGGCCATGGCATCTGCAAGATCTTCATGCAAGCACCTCTTAGAGCATGGACATCTCAGAAGAGGCCGTTCATGCGACAATTTACGGCAAAAATGCCGCGCCCCAAATAATTTATGGGCCCGGCCCTTTAGAACCCCGCAATGTGGACACTGTTTGGGGAAAAATGTGATTCAACCATTTAAACAATGTTAACCTTTTTTTGCCAGGAAAAAAACATTTTGGCGCCTTTGGCCATATTTATCCAAGGCACAAATGCATTTTGCCAGCCGCATTGGAGGTTTGGCATAAGCCTGGGTGAAGGGGAGTTTGATACTTCAATTTTTGGCCTTACCCGGTGGGAATGGAATAGTGCCTAGTTATGTTTATTTTTCGGGTAACTAAGATAAACCATGATGAGGGAATGCCAGGAAATTGCCCAATGATGCATGATGCTCTGTGTGTTAAAAAAATTGTCATGTTTCCTCATTGTCGGATGCGTGTTGCTAGTTTTCCCACCGTTTCGGGGGTTTGGGGGGATGAACATCTATAAATCCCAACAAATTATTTGATGTTCACCGAGGTACCAACGTTTTGACCAACTATATCCACATTCGGAATGGCAGAAACATGTGCCGTAGATGGATTGTTTTGGAGCGACGACTTATTGATCCCGGAACGACATTTCCAAGAAATAAGAAACATATTATATCATTTATATCAAATCTTATCATATGGATTCATATGGAGGTTTCCTAAAATGGGGATACCCCCAAATCATCTATTTTAATAGGACGTTCCATTACACACAATCCATTTTGGGTTACCCCCATTCATTGAAACCCCCACATTGGGGATTATATGAAATTATCATAAAATACGCCATACAGTGCTTTTCAGGGACTGATTGCATTTTCCTGCCCTGGTGGGTTGTTTTCAGGAACGCATCTTGTCCCATGTTGTTTGCAAACCTACGGTTGTTGGATTGAATACCGGCCTCATATTCAAATTGGTAGTATATGGGTTTGCCTGAAAATTGCGTATACTCCAAAGAACCAGTTTAATGAAACAACACGTGATTGATCATCGGACTTCTCCTGTAGCCTATTTTCAGACATTGGCATATATCTAAGGCTCAAAATTAGTCATGTTTTGTAGTAGCAATCGGTTTATTTGATCCTCTAAATAGATCAAATTGATAGGGAAACAAACAAACAATAGGGCTAATCCCAAGGTGACTACAAGGTGGCAGCGCGGTTCCAGAAAAGAGAGGCCACGTGGGATGGTTCCATTAGTTCCATTGCTGCGCATCATTTGGGTTTTTCATGGTTTTTCCATGTTTCAATGGATTGGTTTAGTCGGGAAAATCTACACGGGAAACCCATGGGTTTTTACCATCAAATATAGATAATATAGGGGTTTCCGGTTCCAATTTTCCCATCATCCAATTCTATGAATGTTCATTGATGTTTCAACTTATTAGTGAACGTTGTGATTTGTTGCATCTCTCGATCTTGATGCGTCACATCAAGGCAACCGGAGTTCAGCGTGGATCCTCCATGTGTGAAGAAACATGTGGGGAATCCATCCATAGGATTCAGATGATTCAGACCCAGCAGAGATTTTTCGGTGCAAATCTAATCAGGAAGTAGGGATAAGCGAATCTTGACACATCTTGCAGTTAGTGTCCAGGTGACTGGAGGATTAAGGGTCCATGACAGCCACATGGGAGACCCAACAGGTCAACAGCTTCACTGCTAAAGCTGTAGATTGCATTGAAAAACAAATGCAGATAAATCCGATGAGGCATCAAACGCGGCAGTTACAAGTTTGATAGGCAGCAGGCATGGTTTTCTTGGGGGGGAACTTAGACCCTGTCTTTCCACAAGAATTTGCCAGCCTTTGGGCCATTCCTTGACCACTGCCGGGCACGGCACGCCATGCCCATGGAATGCTGCTCTGTGGTTCCACGCGCGGCGAAAGAACCTATGGAACCCATGTGGGAATCTGTGAGCCTCTTGGGCTAAGTTGCCAAAATGAACATATTGCCAGTTGCCTGCCGTTGAAGCTGACCTCAGGAATTGCTCAAGAGCACGATTTCGGACAAGTGCATATTATCATTCGCGCTGTTAGAGATTTAATTTGTTGTTTAGAGTTTAGAGGATATCAGCTTGCTTGGTTGTCATAGTTGATGCATTAAGAGTTATGTGATTTTTAGATATTTTTGGTACTTGAATTTCTCGAGGGTGACTTGCCATGGACCTCAATCATGCTCCATGCAGAAAGTTCGTGATCTTAGTGAAATATCTCGAGTCATTTCGAGTCGAGGTATGCATGAAGAAGTCAAGAACTTGCAGGCCTACATGGAAAAACATTTCTCCAGACAAGAGATCCTTATGGAGGACTGGAAAACCGCAGGAAGAGTCATGGAGCCATTCAGAGCTTGCAACAACGTCAACATGACACCACTGATAGGTGATGATTAGGAGTGGGATCTGGCGGACCACTCGAAAATTGTCTAAATTCATTGGAATTGAATGGAATTATATTGGTTTGTATTTGCCCAGATGGTACATGAGATGTAATGTTGATCTACCAGCCGCCTGCAAAGATACGTGTTTGGTGCTGGAAGATGGTTTACTTGATGTGTTCCTTTCTAATCTTTCTATTTGGGCAAACTCACGGGAGAGTCCTATGATCATCTTGGTGATTTCAGAGTAGAAACGATACTAACGTCATTGTCATGGATTCTGCATAACCCCTTTCGTAGTATCGTGGATTGATTCTGTTTGAGATTCTTAGAGAGCTTAAGATCGGGGGGTTTAAGGGATTTTAAGGGACCATGCACATTTGTTGCAGATGAAGGCGTTTATATCGTTGTGTTTGAACAGTGCAATGTTACTGTCTCAATTATGTCTAAATCCAATTAAGTGAGTTTTCTCTGGCCCCAGTAGGCATCATCTAAAGCATCCCACAACAGTGAACGGTGCGTTGCTTTCCGCCCTGGTGACCCTGGTGTATGTGGCAGGTCCCACAACATATGGATGTCAACTCCCACTGGTCCCCATGGCTCCCAGTGCTCTCAATATTCTTGACCCATGTTTGTTGACTAAGCCCAAAAAATTGTCTCGAATTGAAGGATATACGTATGATTTGCAGTGATATCTAAGACTAAGAATGTAATGATATGGGTATGCGTCAATACCTATAGATACATTTTTAGTGGGATGAACATCCATTTACCAGCAATTTTGATGTTCACTAGGTGCCAGGGTTTTGATAATTATATATATATATACATATCATGATTTATGTATATACAGTCTTGACAGACATGTTGAAGCCAGTACCAGCTCAGCTCAGACCCATACCGAAAAGTCATCCATCCTGTCTTCCATCCCCTCGATTTTGAAAGGACCTGACTGATCAGGTGAAGCAATGCATGAAGAGATTCAGCAAGGACGCGACGCAGCTGCGTTCACCCAGTAGACCAGAGTTCTGAGCAAAACAACTCGACTTTCCTGGGTGAGACACGTTTGATGTGTTGTGTTCGTTTTATGCTTAAACAAACATTGGTTGTAAGATGTTTAGTTTAACCTTTCAAAGGAGGAACGCTGGATATACTGGATGGTCCACTGAAAAATGTCCTTAAAAAATTGCCAGCCACATTTATGGTTGAAATGGACACATGCACCCAAAATGTAAGTTTAAGGTGGGTAAATTATGGTAAATTGCTGTCATTTGTCTCGAGTTGGACCATGTGAATGGCTGGTACTTCTGGTACTTGGGATGTTGCTGCTGAATCATGGCTATGGCAGGCACTGGATGCGTGTGGATCCTGACAATCGTGCTAAGAGAATCTATATAAGATATACTTATGTATGGTATCCTTACCACGCTTAGCAACTGTGAAAGATGGGTGCTGCTATTCCAGAAGATTGTGTGACCGATGCCTGAGGCTGAAGGCGCTTGGACAGGCAGAATGGAAGACTACCACGTCTTCAATTCATTCTCAATTGTATTTCCATGGTATTTACTACTTCAACTGGTAGAATCTCAGAAAACACAACTGGACCTAACAGCTTGGTCAGTTCACCCGAAATTCGAGCACACACATTTTTTTTGTGGTCGGATTTTCCATAGAAAATACCAATTTTTTGAACCTGCACATGTTGGAAAGTCTCCTCGGCTCGACAGGAGAACGTGTTTCTCCGTCCCAAAGGGGGTAGATTTGGAAGCCCAGAGGCACTGGGCCCACTGGGCTGTGCCGGCTGTGCCCTGTTTTGGGGAATCACGGGGGAGATGATCTTAACCCAACCAGCGACAGAAATGTGATACACAGATATAAACAGGGCCTATCCTCAGTTAACATAACTATTGAAAAAAAAACATGTTGAACAGGTCAATCATCTAACAGTTGGTACATGTTCCATCCATGGTTCCATCCATATGAAAAGGTAAATCATCTATAGAATATTATAGAATCATGTCTATCCATTTTGAATAGGTAAATCATTTGTAATAGAGGTACATGTTCCATGGCTATGTTTTACCAAAGCATATTTTCACCCAGGCTCAGATGATTCGCCGAATAAATGAGGCCTCCATGCTAGACATCAGTCGAATCGAAGAGAAGCCCAAGCGGCCTCCAATGGCGCCCGAGGTGTGCGACGGGGATGACGGGGATGACACCTCTGATTCTTGAACTATAACTATGATGTATATCATGTATTTACATAACATATTGTTATGTATATATAATTATATATATAGTGTTATTGTATGTATCATAATCATTATCTAATCCAAATATCATGTTATACAGATATAATATGACTTGCCTTGATGCTGGTCAATGCTGGTCATACATATGTTCTGGCAAGGGCCTCGTAAGTGCCGTGAGAGTACTCTGTGTCCTCGTGCCTGGTTTCTGGACAGACTTTCAGTACATGGATATGAGATGGATATGACATGGATATAACACATATGTATATATATATATATATATATATATATTATGATATGTATAAAATGGAGGACTCGCTTTTTTTCTCAATGTCTATACTGTAGATTGTTTGTTGCATATATATATATATGCACTGTATTATTTGTATTTTTGTTGTTTAAAGTATTTTTAAGTAGAATTAACCAACATATATAGTTGACTTGGAGGACACTTTGGGTCCCGATTTTTTTTCTAGCTGATGGCCGACTTGGAGGCGACAGTGCTGCGTCAAGAAAGCGATACTGCCGACAGCGGTCACTCAGCTGAGAGTCCGGCTGGAGACAATCCCTCAAAGATGGATGGTTTGAAAGGAAAGGAGATGTATTTGGTACATCTCTTGGGGTGGGCATGGTTCAAAAACCATGAACTCTGAAGATGGATGGTTGTTCATGTCACACCGTTCATAGCCTCTTATTTCAGTTTTGCGTGTCCCATGAGTTAAATGATGGAACACCCGTTTCCAACATTGGGATGAACCGTGTTTCGGGTCTTTGGGAGGCGGATGGATGGTATTTTTCTGTAATTTTGTTTGGTACTCAGTGACTCTCGGTTCACAAACTCAGATGGGAACATCTTACTGTTCAGATTGTCGGATTCTACAAAGTTGACTGACGCTGCTCCCAGATGGTACTTATTTTTCATGTTTCACTACGCCCCCCAAGTCATTCAAACATGAGCAAGTACCCCAGCCAATATTGATTTGGAAATTCAAGAGCCCAAAAGATCTGAGAACCAACCTACCTACAGTAGTTAACCAACTAGGGTAAATCATTTAATGGTCAATCCTAATCCTCTTTTATATCTATTTTCCGAATCTTTCCGACAATAAATGCCATTCCACATGTACCACATGTACCCAAGTTGATCATTTTAAGGATTCTGCCGTTACCACGCCACGTTTCTATCTGTTTCGATGATTCATGTGGGTCATCCGGTTGGAGACGCACTGCGACCTGCAGGTCGGCGGGAGAGCGTCTTGACATCTACAGTTCACAGCCACAACAGGCCGGGGCACCGCTGTGAAACGCGGCTGGGGCGGGGCACAGCATGGTGCGACGAGGGAAAACTTGGAGGATCACTGGGATTCTGTCGACCCAAAGAAAGATGGCCCTCAACACGGGGAATTCATTCCCATAGGATCCATGTATGCCATATATGGTAACATTTACCATTAACATGCCCCCAATGTTAGCATTAATATACCAGCACCATGGATCCGTCATGGGATTGTTGTGACCAGTGACAGTGACAGCATATGACAACATTGACAACCCGACGCCAGAAACAGTGCACGGATGAGCTTCGCCCGGAATATCTTCACAGACCACATGCAGAAGCTGCTGGGATCAAAACTGAGGGCCGCAGGGCCAGTGACTGGGAAGATGTCAGCTGTGGCGGAAAAAACCCAACCCAGCAGATACCAGCAGTACCCAAACATGGGACGAAACCAGAAGTTCAGCTATCTCATAACATGAAATGATGATCCCAATGGACCAATAACACTATGACAATATTGTTTGGAGGGATCGAAACCAGCAAGTGTTCCCATGAGATATTCAAATCGGATGGTTTGGTGGTGGCATGTGAGTCAGTGGTCCTTCATCTTTCTGATTCGAAGCTGCAAAGATGAACGACCACGGATTCCACAACATGAATCCCTCTATGGAAGCTTGACCCAAACCTACTTGTTTCTGAAAATTGGGGACTTCCGAAACACTAATTCAGAACAAACTGTGAATATGACGGTCTGCAGGCGTGATATTGATGTAATATTACAATATATTACAGCCATTTTGACCCAAGTCCAATTTTCTCCAAGTGTCAATATCAGTATTCAAATTATTCAAATGATGTTGTCTTGGGAGATCTCCACATTTATGATCATTTATATTCATTTATGACATCTCCATGGTCCTCAATGATCTCAGGGCCAAAGACGCTGCAGCCAAAGAGTTTGCCAGCAAGGTCTTTCTGGATGAAGAGTTAGAAGGCGGCAGGGTTCGGGGATGAAGTGCAGGGTTGGAGATTCGACCGGTTGAACCACAAGTCCAGCCAGGACAGAAAAGGATGTACCATCTGGTTATTTAACATAGCCATGGAAAATGGCCCATTTATAGTGGATTTTCCCATTAAAAATGGTGATTTTCCATAGCTATGTTAAATTACCAGAGGGTATTTTCTTAGCCAGGACAAACCGCTTTTAAGTTGATCAAATATCGAGCTATTCCCGTGGCCATCCACTGGTGAAATAGACTCTAAGCACAACAGGTACTGGAAATTGGGTGTTTCAAACAAAATGTGTCGAATTTTGGGGTCAGCCTACTTTCAGGGATGGGTTAGTTATGGTTAAAGATCCCAATGTGATCCAATATTTGGTAAAATGTGATAAATACATGTTTGCCCTATGGAATATAGTGATATGATGTGACATGTATATAATTGTGTATATTAATTGTGTATATATAATATAATATATATATATATATTATACACATAAATATTATAGATTCATGGATGTCATAGGATTTGTTTTACGGCACATCCCCGCATATCTCAGGCGGAAATCGTGTCATTCCTTTAGATGTGTGCCATGCCCATAGCCAATCTGGGCGGTGGTGCTATTTCTATGTTTTTTCTTCTACCAGTGCCCCTAGAAACCCAATGGAAATGCTTGGTCCAATCTACCGGTCTGCTATTTTCCATGTTCGGAAGTCCTTAAAAATTTGATTCTACCCCTAAAACTGGAAGGAACTGGTTTATTGAATTTTGCTTTGATGTTTCGAATTAATCGAACAGCACCAACCAGCGAAAGATTTGATGTTCCCCCCAAATCCAGATAAATAGATAAATCAGTATAGGTATCTAGATTAGATTAGATTAATAATTACAAGATCAGATTTGATTATAGATTAGGTAGACACACATATAGATGAACTATTTGTATTATTTTTGTGTATATTTATGCATATTTGTGGATTAGATTTGATCAGATTTGAGTCGTTTCTTTCAGCGGAACTCCGGAGTGGCCAGGTGCTGGATCTTGTGCTTGGCTGCGATCATGTGCGCGTCGCATTGTGAGACTTGGCGCAGGGCCCACGGCCATGGCCAGATGGGTGCGGATAAACAAATTGAAGACCTTGGGAACCAGAGATTTTAGTCTAGTTTAGTATTCACATGTATTACCCAAGCAATTATTGGCGTATACCCAATTTTGAGCCACGTATCATATATCAAGAGGCCACAACGAACATGGAAGAAACACAACAATATGTAGATAGATGTAGAGGTCATGGGTACAGCTGATATAAGGTAACAAGAATGGGGATGTCTCAAATAGCAGACCCAAAAAAAAATAGTAGGATAACCAAGAGTATGGTTCAAAGTTCAAACATCAAAGTTTCAATATGGCGAGGCTTCTGACCCGCCTCAGTGTTTCGCAGTGTCACTACAGTAGCTGAACTCTGGTCGACCAAGACGAGGACTGCTCCCATCACCGCACACTTTGTGATGGCCCTCATTCTTCTCAATCTGATCTTGTTGCCAAGCTGCACCTGCAGGGATAGGACCCCTCGACCAGGGATATTCACGAATGGTTTCAATTCGGTTAGATCCGCATATGTTCGGCTGCTTTAAAGATCTTTAAAGGGCATATTGATAGTGAGAAATTGCATATTGGTCGATTCCAAACTACAAGGATACCCCCGGGAAAAAAAAAACACAATCAATATATTCAAATAGGGACAATGAGGGGCAGCCATTGGCTTTGGGGGCACCTCACGTTCAGAAAAACTTATCTAGAATTTATATGAATTTATCCATGTGTCCAAATTTGGACCATTTTTAAAGTACACATTCTTAAATATAGACCGCACGTGGAGCATGTCACATACTGTGTGGACATTGTGAGCGTATCTAAATTGGATAAACACAAATACAGAACCCCCCTCCGAAATTGCAAACTTGATGTTTCAACATGTTCCAAACCTATTTTTTTCCCTGGATAGCCCAATTGCAACGATGAGATGAGTTTGTCTGCAACCGCGGTGCTCCAAAATTTGATGGTCTACATCTATCAGCATGTTTCCCATGATTTAATGCTCATACGGTCATACATCATAAGGCTTCATAAGGGTAGATATGGGTAGATAGATACTGTAACATTAGATAACCCATTTTCAGACACCCAAATCAGAAATCCAAAAGAGATTCTTCGGTTTTCTACATTGTTCAAGCATCATTTGTTTGTGATGAAATACCAACATGTTCCACCATTTTTGATTGCTGCTTGGTGGTTTCAAACATAGCTTTTATTTTCCATCATATAAGGGATGTCATCCTTCCCATTGACTTTAACATTTTTCAAAGATGCTTTAAACCACCAACCAGATTGTCAAATTAAATCAAACAGCCATTCATCTGGGCAAATTATAATGACCTCACTGCGACCTCACTGGAATAGTGGTTAGTAAGGGAAATCATCCCAAAATGGCCTTAATTCATGTCAGTGAATTATTATAATTTGCCCAGATTCATGTTCCACCAATCCGGCCATGGCGTAACGGACGAGGCTTGGAGTGGAGGTTGACGTCTCCGCAGGCCTTGGCGCCAACGAGATCCCCGGTTGGTTCGATGTGGTGAATGCCATAATCGTCCCTTGGTGCATTTTTTGATTCGGGGAATCATCGCTTGATGGGTTTAGTTCAGATATTTGATATGGTATGATGTAAAAAAAAATACGATATGACAAGATAGGATATAACAAACAATAGTCTTATTATGATCTGACACGATATACCCTCTGCATAACTATTACATAACTATTATATACATAACTATGGAAAATCACCATTTTCAATGGGAAAACTCACTATAAATGGCCATTTTCAACATGTTCCACCATTTTTGATTACTGCTTGGTGGTTTCAAACATTTTTTAATCTTCCATATATTGGGAATGTCATCATCCCAACTGACGAACTCATATTTTTCAGAGGGGTAGGTCAACCACCAACCAGCAATTAGTATATAATTTATCATAATTTATCCAGATATATGATAATATAATATTATAATATATATAATATATAATATGTAAATTATCTAGATTGATGTTTCCTCCACAATTACCAGGTGTCCCAACTGTTGGGCGGCACCAAAAACACCATCGAAAACCACCCGTTTCAGTGCTGCTGGGTGGTCCAATTGAAGAAAGGTATGGACATTCTATGTGATGCCTTGAGGGCACATAACAAATACCCTCTGGCTATTTAACAGTTTGCTATGGAAAATGGATGAAAATGGTCCATTTATAGAGGAACTATGATGATTTACCTATCAAAAATGGTGATTTTCCATAGCTACGTTATATAACCAAACCAAACGGCAACATGAACCAGAGTTTATTTCTAGATGAATTGTACGAATTATGAGGACTATTGCATCATGTCACCAAAGCGTAGATGATGGTTAGGAATGAGAAGGAATTTACGGTAAGAAGTAAGAACTCCAACATGGGCTTAATTTGGGTTTGGTGAACTACAAAAGAATGCAGCCATATCAAGCATATTTCAGAAGTTGCACATGAATTGGATGACTTAAGTCTACCCGAAAAACAAGTATGAAGACCTTGCCATCCATGTATAGATTCAAACCTTGGTTGGTTTCCAAAGCCCAAAGCCAGGATACAAACAAGATGGATTTGAGTAGTACAAAGGGGGAATACATTGAATAATATTGATTTCATGACCGTAGTACCGATTTGTTGCTTACTTACGACTTGCATTGCCTTCATCCCCCATCTATGCTGCTCACCATCGTTGGTACTGTTTATTTGTTTGTTTTTCTCTTGGTTTTAGTAGCCCACCGAAATTTTGAGTGATTTCCTCATCAAAAGACATGTTCATCCCTATTACTACTCGCATTGACTCACAGGCACCAGGTTTAGAGGCAGATGATACAGCCATGTTTCTTCGTTAGATCTCATGCTTGTTGGATTATCCCATATATTTCAAGACAATAAGATATGTCAGGTAAAAACTTACGATCTTCCACAGATCTCACATACACTATATAGACTGGGTATCAAGATATATACCTTAACGTAGTCCTTCATGTTCGACCCCTGACATTGTCCAAGGTTATTCCGGCTCCGGGATGGTGGTACCCCCTATCCACACGGCTTGAATTAGATTAATAATTTGCAGGGTCAAAATGATCAACCAAACATTGTGAAGTAATTATATAGTTAACTTATATCCCCTTCAAAGACTTACGGTCAGCCCATTTCGCTGAACCCAAAAGGTCGCGGTTTTCGTCTTGGAGCTGGGTGGCTGGGCTGTGATTCTTGCGGAGGTTGACGTTTCAAAGAGCCAAAAAT